ATTTATCACTTTCACGGGTTTATTACGAATCAACTTAACGGCCTGCTCCCAGTTGGCTTGTTAGCTCAATTGGTAGAGCGCTGCACTAGTATCGCAGAGGTCAGTGGTTCGAATCCCGTACAGGCCTGATTTTTTTCAGGTCTGATTTTCGCTATTGCTTAAATAGCGCTATCTACTGCGAGGATCGTGCATCATATGTAGTGCAGGCTATGTTAGTAACCTTCAAATAAGTAAAACACTCAGTTACACTGCACCCATGGGTGTGTCACCTGAAGTGCAGCCTATGTTAGTTACCTTTAACTAAATAAAACGCGGGGTTACACTGCACTCATGGGTGTGCCACCTAAAGTGCAGCATGTGTTAGTTACCTTCAATTAAATAAAACACTGGGTTACACTGCACCCATGGGTGTGCCGCCTAAAGTGCAGCCTATATTAGCTAAAGTGCAGCCTGTTTTAGTTATCTTTAACTAAATAAAACATTGGGTTATACTGCACCCATGGATGTGATCTCTAACTAAAGAAAATACTGTTACTCTACACATTTACTTTCACCTGCTGAAAAAGAGCTTACCACTGGATCAAATAGTAAAAAAACCGGCTTTACTAATAAAAAAGAGCCTGCTTATCTTTTGCTTAGCTGCACTCTTCGCTGTTTGATTCCTGCCGGTTGAAACTTGTGTGTCGTTTTGACTTTGGTTTCTCTTTTAAATATATTTTTCCAATTGCCTGGTTTAATTTTATTCAAAATGCTTCCCCTTATCGCAGCTTCCCAAGGTCACGGTTTCTATAAACGTATTTCTAGTGTAATCATAACCATGGGCTCGCATATTATACCCAAAAAGGTGCAGCTTAAGAGAATTATGATTACATTTTAGCCAGGAAAACTTGAAATTCATTAACAATACTCATAACTTCAGTTACAGGACCGCCATCCGTTTACGCAAATAAGTAAACCTCGCACTTGTTAAGCTGGAAAAAATCCTAACTTTTTAAAAGCCACATTTAATCGCACTTTTGATAAAAGTTCACACTCTCCTTTTCACAGCAACCTCTTCGACAATTTCGTTGACGATGGCCTTCGCTTCTGGGTTGCCAAATCCGCACATGTTTCGAAGCACCATCGCGAAACTTTCCCTGTTTCTTTCGCACACGTAATGCACGTCCTTGATAACGCGACTGCTTCGCTGCTTCATCAACAGCACCTTTTCTGGTGTATGCAAATCTTCCTTTTCGATGATCTTCTTTAGATTTGGGGAAACATTCTTGCTTTCAGCTCTCTGCGAGTTTCCACTGTTTGAGGGTGTCATGACCACAGATGATGACGTCTTGTTCATTGGCGTCGTTGGCATTTCCAAGCGCAGTAAGGCACGTGGTTGTTGTTCTTTGTTTGCTTGGCTTTCGTTTTCTTCGTAAAAAGACATGTTACGGAGATCTACTGTGTCCAGCAAATATCTCAGCTGCGAAATGAACTCAGAGCTTTCCGAAGAAGAAAGGCGTAGCAGAGTGGTTATCGACCCAAATGAGGAACAGAAAATTTCTGTTGCATTTGAAGACTTAATTTTAGAGCAGTGGCGGCCATCTTGCAGCCGAATGTAGGCACTGTCGATTCTTTGAAAAATTGCCTGGAAAACTGGCAACAATAGGCGATCGCTTAAAATATTGTGTCGGCGTTGATCCACAAACTTTGGTACTAAGAATCTACCAACTTAACTGTGGGCTTAATTCAGGGCTGATGACCCGATTGAAGCGCGAGAAACCTTCCTCGGTACCATCTCTACTGTTACTGAATCACGCGTTTGTAATACGAACGTGCAAAGAAAAGATTGGCGACCAAATACATTGACACTCGAATATTAATTAAAATTGTCACATTATCCAGGTGCTAACTCGAGGGTGTTGATAGCTCGAGCTAGTCGGCCCATGACATATTCAATGAGATTAAATGAGATTCAATACGGGATTATCACACCCGAAAGAGACAAGCCCAGCAGGCGTACTACTTGCAGTGCAAAGCACTTGTGGGGGGGGGGGGGGAGATGAAATATTGTGGGGGGGGAAGAGATGAAATATTGTGGGGAGGGTGGAAGAGATGAAATATTCACCTTAGATTTTTTCACTGAAAAAACATATTATCCTTGATCGGGTTTGCTCTACCATTATGATAATTTCCCTTCAACGTACAAAAGTAGAGAAAAGAATAAAGTACAATTGAAGATCTACTCATAGTTCAAACGATGTTAAAATTCTTAAAACCACGAGTCACAACCAACTGCAAGTTAAGGATTATGCTGACCATTTTGGCTATTGTTTCGAATATAAGAAAAGTAACGGAAATTACATAGGTTTTTTTTGTTTGTCTAATGATACGAAATTTTAAACGTATTTCCCAAAGAAATTACCGTTCGTAGTATTTCAAGACGACTGCTGTAAATTTTGCCTCAGCTCCCTCACCTGCCTCAGTTTGGATTTATCATTAAGCTAACTTTGCAAGACTAGCATGCAAGACATAACAGGTGACAGAGAGCCCTTGGACTGGCTGCCTGTAATGAAAAATGTGAATTTACGGGAGAAAGGTCTATCTCACCTGCATGATGGAGGACCCACGTCAAAGTCAACGAAAGATATTACTATTAGCCTTCCATGTGGAATAGGAACGGAGTATTTACAATCCAGATCAGCTGGATAGTTGAATGGATATCCAGGACTTTTCAATGTGTTATTTACCAAAACGCCACATTCTGAAGAAATAATAGTATAAATACATTATTATTACTATATATGTTATTGAAAGGCTGCAGTATCCGTTGCGATTACGAACATGGTAGAGTTTCTTATTATTGATGTGTATATCGGTGGAGTTCCAGTCACTGGAATTTTTACTCTGTAACCTGGTAGGGAGAGCCTCCACAACGGCTGATAAGGATATTTTGGGTAGGACTAAAGAAAAAGTACATTAAAAAAACGAAATGAAAAATAGAGGTCAGACTAAGTTAGTATTACATGAATTTCTCTGGATCTATTACATACCTACATACATGCAAAAAATTAAGCTTGCTTATTGCAGGACACGTCTATTTATCTTATACATTGCTGAAAGCTGAAACTGAAAGCAGAAAGCTCAAATTACATTGATTGGTAAGAAAGTCGCGAAAGTACAAAGAAGAAATAGCGGACAGGTTAGGTGAAAGTTAAAACGCTTCTATTCAGAACAAAAACTTCCAACAAAGCACAAACAACTGGCTAAACGTCGGTAAGTCTTAGGCTCCCAAAAACGACTATGTCAAACATTTTTGAAAAGTAAGAGCTGGAGGCTTTGAACAAAATTTCGTCGGATTTTTACGACAGGTATTAAATCATTGGCGTGTTAGCCCTCGTGTAAAGAAATTTCTAACTGAGAAAGATCGAGCTCAAAAATTCCTGGCAGAAAGCTTAAAAGCTCGAAACTACTGCTAGCAGGAACTCGGGCGACAACAAAAAGGTAAGCGGTCATACCATTGAACAATAAACACGGCTAAGGGAAAGCAAAAGTCAAAGTATTGCTGTATATCATTGACAAGTAATCAAATGATTTCATCTCGTGCAATTTGCGATCAATCAGCGCTTGTAAAGTTTTTAGAGACTACAAATTGCACTCGCCAGAATGACTTATGCAAGTTTACTCTTTCTGATTTTTTTCTCAAATTGCACTCAAAATCATATGATTCCCTTAAGGAATTGGTTCCATGCAGAAGTTAATTAATGCCGCTGACAGAAGAAAGATTTCAGGTCCATAGTTGTTTTGTTTCTTATTTTTTTAGATAGCATCACTCTGTCATTACTACATTGGGCATTTTCAGAGTTTTCCATCCTAATAACTGTACATACCATCAAAAACTGTTTTGAAACGGAAGAAGAATCCTTTGTGTTCGACCCTTGAGTCTGAACGGAATGTTATCAAGGCGTAGTTTCCATCAACTACAACTGTCTGTCTATTCCACCAACCACAGTATTTACCGAAGTTATACTTCTGATCATTAACAATATTCACAAAGTCATATCTATAATGAAGAGAAATATTCATCTCAGATTTTTTCACTAAATAAACATATTATCCTTGTTCGGGTTTGCTCTACCATTTTGATAATTACCCTTCAACAAAAGTAGAAAAAAGAAAAAAGTACAACTTTGAAGATTTACTGATTGTTCAAACGACGTCAAAATCGTTAAGCTAATTTGAAACCACGAGGCACAGCCAGCTGCAAGGATAATGCTGACCATTTTGGCTATTGTTTCAAATATAAGTAAAGTAACGGAAATTATGGACGTTTTTTTTTTTTGTTTGATGATACGAAATTTTGAAAGCATTTCTCAAAAAATGACTTTTCGCAGCATTTTTAGACGACTGCTGTAAATTTTGCCTCAGCTCTCTCCCTTGCCTCAGTTTGGAATTATCATTAAGCTAACTTTGCAAGACTTGCATGCAAAACATAACAGCTGACAGAGAGCTCTTGGACTGGCTGCCTACAATGAAAAATGTTAGTTTGCGGGAGAGAGGACTATCTCACCTGCAGGGTGTGCGACCCACTTTAAATTCAACGAATGATATTACCATTAGCTTTCCATGTGGAATGGGAACAGAGTATTTACAATTCATATCTGCTGGATAGTTGAATGGATATCCCGGACTTTTCAATGTGTTATTTACCAAAACGCCACATTCTGAAGAAACAATAGTATCGGTACATTGTTCTTATTATATATGTTACTGAAAGGCTGCTTTAAACGCTTTGATTCAGAACAAAAACTTCCAACAAAGCACAAACAACTGGCTAAACGTCGGTAAGTCTTAGGCTCTCAAAAACGGCTATGGCAAACATTTTTGAAAAGCAAGAGCTGGAGGCATTGAACAAAATTTCGTTGGATTTTTACGACAGGTATTAAATCATTGGCGTGATAGCCCTCATGTAAAGCAAATTCTAACCGAGAAAGATCGGAAACACTCAATAATTCCTGGCAGAAGTTTTAAAATCTTGAAGCTACTGCTTGCAGGAACTCAGGCAACAACAAGAAGGTCAGTCACTTTTATCATGAGCCCCTGGCCGGGAGATCTGGGCGACCACTCCCCGTGTAACTGACATAAAATAAATTATCCTATCCTATCCTAAGCGGTCGCGCCAGTGAACAATACGCCTCTGGAGATATTTGAATGGATATCCCGGACATTTCAATGTGTGTTTTACCAAAACGCCACATTCTGAAGAAATAATAGTATCAGTACATTATTATTATTATTATTATTATTATTTTTTTTTTTTAGATATGTTACTATTATTATTGTTATCAACATTATTTATTATTGCCATTCTTATTATTATCATTATTACCTAGTCTGCTTTTTTCCGATAAAAATGATAAGGAAGTAACAATGATGATGACCATGATGGTTATGAATATGAAAATGATAAAGTCATATGGAGTAAATCACATAATTATTGCTGAAGTGTTCATGAGAAATCACATTGAATAAAAAGCTACAGATTTGATCTATTTCTCAGTTAAATTGTACATTTTAGAGAGGAACGAAAATTAAATAAAATTTGCCTTGACACTACATATTGCTTTGCAACTCGTAACGCCAAACTGTTCTCTAAAAATTACAAATTAACTTAAATATTTGATGATTAACTTAACATATTTGAGCAATGATTCTGTCTGATTTGTCCCACAGACACCCCACCTTGGAGAAATAACAACAAAATCATTTCCCACCTTGAGTAGCTAAGGCACAAGAATTTCCATTTAATGCTTGCAAATAAATTGCCACAAGTAGTGTCATGATGAATGTAGGTTCCATTACAATCACTGCCTCTAGAGACGGGTACAACAAAGTAAAAGAGAAATTCATTTAGTGATAAATCGATTTTATCACTGATCGTATGGAATATCAATATTTGTATTAACTTGAGCATCATCATCTCTGCTTCGTGCGCCGATTTTTGTTTTTTCCTATATCGTTAGTACGGTTCTTTAATACGAGTCCAAGCTACAAAATTATTATGTAGTGACAACCTTGTAAATGTTGCAAAAGTTTATAAAAGCTCACCAGCGTACATTTCAGAGAGTTCATATTTTAGGGGCGTCATCTTGCTCTCCAATTATAATTCGTTGAGTTCAGTGTAAATTCAGCAACAAAAAACAACAATGTTATTTCCATTTAGTATAATTTCAGAGCTGAGCAAAGAGTTTCCTGCAATCTGATTGGTCGAGCGGTTCCTTAGATGACGCTAGATAAAGGGCTCTACACGGTTTATATGAAAAATTTAAAATAAAATGTTAAACGTTACCAAAATGTTATGATTTTAGAAATTTCTCTGTTGTTCAGCTCTGAAATTATACTAAAACAATTATTCGCCTCAGGTTCGGTGAATATTGTCGAATCCCCTCCACTTCGTCTCGGGGATTATTCGACGAAATTCACCTCGCGAATAATTGTTAAATATTACCTATGTACCTAACTAGTCATTAATTTTTCCCCCAAGAAGAGAAAAATGAATGTTGGACTGTTGAGTTTTAGATTCCCTACGGTGCCCGGATATTCCTCAGTATACGAGAGCTCTACGAGAGCGCACTGTTGAAGTGGGTTTCCATGGCGCTGTACACCCACACCTTAGCTGAAATGCGGAGATGAAAAAGTTTTAATGACATCTGTAATTTCTTTCTGTACTCTGCATTACATCTGCTTCATGACTTATTATGGGCTAAGGCAGAAGTGACAACTGGAAAATCTCAAAATTGTTATTATTCCTTTGTTCTCAATTTGGATGGAGTTCCTTTTCGCCACATTTTAATGCAAAATACATCATTCCTCCTTATACTCTATCCCTTCACTTCGAAACTATGTGATTATTCCCCTCCCCCCCCCCCAACCCAAATCCTCCAATCTATCCTGGTCTTCTGATCTTCCTCATCTAAAGGCTGGTCCCATCCCCTTTTCTTACGTTATTGCCACTGTGTTGGCAGTTTGCAGGGAGCACGTATGGAGTCAGCAATCCCAGGGGATTGAACTTGTTAGAGATCCGCGTCGGGACATGACCGCTGCTTGCTTAGGGTGTTTGAAGTAGATAAACAGAGAAACGAAAACAATCTGTTTCAGTGTTCCATTTGCCGCATAATTCCTCGAGCTTTAAATCCCCGAAGGGTTAGCTTCGTCGTGTAGAGGAAACAGCGACAAAGCTTTGCGAGAGGAGCTGCTCCACTCCTTTATCTGAAACCTTCACTCGCCAGGAGAGAGATCATTTCACGGAATATTTGCACTGCAGTGGCTTTGTTACATACAGACTTAGGAACGTCAGCTATATGGAAATTATTCTTTAATGAAATGATCGTGTCAGCCAAAAACAAAATGTCTTCACGGCTGTCACAGGCTCTTGTTTTCAATCTGTAATTCCCTATGTACAGGGATAAAGCAGTTCCGAAAATCTTGTCGGTCATCTGAAATAAATAAGGTGGGCATTGGGTGAGTTGGTGTTCCTCTTTGATCCGAGCCCGATCGAAAATATACGAGTTTATAGTGCCACCTTGTGAGAGAATAACTACGCCGACCAGAAAGACACTGTCAGCAGAGCATTCCAGGATAACTAAGGTTTGGCTTCTGAAATCTAGAAGTGCAAATATGTTCACGTTGATAACTATTAAGGTCACGCGGACCGGTTTGGGTACGCTTTGAAGCAGAACATCAGTGGAGACGCAAAACGGGTGCTGCAGCATTCAAAGGCGAGACAGATGCCACAATACTCACGGATAGCTTTTCAGGAAAAACCTCTGCCGCGCCGTAGGCTAGCGGCCTATGATAATCGTTACATCTCCCTTCGTCACATCGTTTCTTGCTTCGGTCAGTCACGAGATTGGTGATTCGATGGCTCTAAAAACGAAATTTGTAGGCTCTTTTCTTTGCCTAACTGTGCCCTTTGAGTCACATTCATTCCTACAGATTTCTCACTTTTTGAAAAGTTGTTCGTTGACGCACACCAATCAGGTCTTTGACGTGGGTGAGCTCTGATTTCCTTCTTAGAGCTCGTGGCTAGGGTTTAAGACTCAGTAAGGCTGATCTTGACGGCTATCAGCGCCTTTACCTCCCTTTGTATTAATATACCTGGTCGACAGTTACTTCTTCCATCAAGTATCGAAGCTTTCCGGCCGTATCACAATAAACTGAAACGTTCTAGGGTGTCTGATCGCACGACGTGGACGAATTAATTGGAGATGGAAACTTTGTGTTTTGCTGAGGTAAAGGGTCATCTGGGTTATCGTGATTGCTTCCATTTTCTGGTACTCTAGGTATAATTTCACAGCATTGCAGTTTTATCTTCAACATCCTCGACATTCCGTGAGCGGATCTTAATAAATCAAACTCCAGATTTCCCCGGTCCTTATAAGGCACGTTAAGATATGCAATCAGTGGCAGTCTCTTAGCTTCACATTCGAGTTCCCTAATACACCGGTGTTCTTGAATCACGGTCTTTCCAGCCAAAGTCGGATTTTCACCTCACTTAAACAACTCTCTCATTCAGTGCACATGCGTCTTATCATTTTAAATCGCGTATGAGAATGAACTATTACCGCTGGTTGACCCTACTTGGAGCGAGGGCGTTTAGTCACCATCGGTTTGCAAGAGTAATTCCTTAATTTTTCGTTCATCGAAATTCTTTTTAAGCATAGATTGACCCTCTCAGAGGCTTTTCCCGTTAATTTAGTTTTATCGCCTAAGTTGATAATGTAATTTGGCTACAGTAAAGAGTATAAAAGTTGACGTTTCGAACGTTAGCCCTTCGTCAGAGCGAAACCCTGCATTAGCCTCCTTGGAGTCCCAGAAATGATTGATGTTAAGAAGACATTACCGAATTTGTACGCACGCGCTTTGAAATTTCGTACGTTTTAAAAAATGTCGTAAGCCTGATTGCAAGTCACACGGACGATTTTCCGTGTGTGCAAGTTTTAGGAGTTGGGAGTTTTGAGTTTTTAAGTAACAAGTTTTTTCGGAGATTCTCGGTGGAATAGATAGTTGCTCTCAAAATCACCACCGGCTTCTTCATGGAGGTGAAGTTTTCTCAGAGACCTGACCGATGACGACTTTTCTTTACGCTGACGATGGGATACGTCAGCATAAAGGGATACGAAGGAAAACTAGCTTTAAGCGAAGTGAAAGCTTCCCTCAAATACAAAAATGGAAGATATCGTGTAGCCGTACCTTGAAAAGAAAACAAACCCGATCTCCCTGACTCTAAACCTATGGCACTGTCTCGTCCACGAAGCATCGAAAGAAATTTGAAGAAAAACAGCCGTGTCCCTGAATATCAAGCAACCATTCAGGCCTATGTTGATATGGAATATTTACGAAAGGTAGCCTCAAACGAACAGCTTCCAGCTAACGCATGGCACTTGCCCCATTTTCCGGTCTTGAGAATGGATAAATCGACAACAAAAGTATGAATCATATTTGACTGTGCGCTGAATGCAATGGTACTTCCTTAAATGACATGAATCATCCTGGACCGAAATCAATGCAGATATTTTCAACGTCCTTGTCCGTTTCAGTCAAAATCCTGTTGGTATCGCCTGTGACATAAAAGAAATGTGTCTCTAGAAAGAGATTGAGGAGCAGGACCGATCCCACTTCCGACTGTTGTGGAGAGCCAGACGTATTCGAGTTTAGCCTTGTAGTTTTTGGAAAAAATTCCGCCCCTATAAAGTCGCAGTTTGTTTCTCCAAAAAACGCTCGAATAAACCAACACCGCTATCCCCTTTCCGATGAGACCGTGCTAAAGTCAACCTACATGGAAGGTTCTATTGACAGTTCAAGATGAAATAGCAAATAAAATGCGGGTTTGGTTCAAGTAATTGAAAAGTCTGCACGAGGTGAAGATTCCTCGGTGTCTTCAAAGTCCAGAGCCTGTCAAGTCGAAGCACATTGTAACTTTTGTTAGTGCCTTTCAGCGACCTTGGGGTGCAGCTGTCTATATCCGCTGCGGATACGATAACGATAATGTAAACGGTCGTAAGATTGCAGCAAAGAGTAAAGTGGCGCCACTGACCCCGATGACAGTACCCAGACTAAAACTCACGGGTGCGAATTTAGGTCCGCGCTTAACACAGTCTTTGCTGACGGTCTTAGAAGCATCAATCCAGAGCGTGACGTTTTACTCTGACAATACAGATGTCCTATGGTGGATTCGAAGACGCGGCAAAGATTTCAGACCGTTTGTAGCTAACCGAACCGTCGCAGTAGCAGCATGACTCTACTGAAGAGAATCTAGCCGAATTACGTACAGGTGGGGCCACGCCTTCAGAGTTAGCCGAACGTTCCTTGTGGTGAAATGGCCCCAATTGGCTGACATATGATTTCAGTGAGTGGTCAAAGATCAAAGTCCCGGATAGACAGAGCGAAATGCCAGAGATGAGAACCACGAAGAGGAAAGAAGATGGGAATACCTATGCAACCCTTTTCACGCGTAACCTACAGAAAGGAATCGCACCGAAACAGACACCATAAGAATGGAGACTAGGTCCAAAACGGTTTTTCAGTTGGATGCGTTTTGGTCTGAGTACACGCGAGAGTGAGAAGAGTACTACAAAACATGCGCAACAGAGACAACAGGAATGAGAGCGCTCTATTCCCTGAAGGGAAATAGAGCGCTTCGCACAACGCGAAGCTTTCTATGACGAGTACACAGCTTTGAGCTCAGGGAAGCCGATGCCAAAGAAAAGCCATTTAATAAAGCTTAACCCGTGCATGGACGACAACAGAGTTATCCGTAGTGATGGTAGATTAAAGTTCGCAGATTTTCTTCCAGATGATACCAGATTTCAATCATTCTGCCTCATGGACACTGGGTAACGAAGCTTATCGTGAAGTAACATAAGAAGAGAGAAAATCATACCGCTTGAGTAAACTTCCCTCTTAGCCAGATGTGTGAGAGATTTTGGATCATCCCCGCACGCTAAGAAATTCGCGAGAGGGATCATAAATGTAATGAATTTAAGAGAAGACGAAGCAAGACAGCTTGTCACTTATGGCCCCACTCCCGCAAATGAGGCTCTGTTTCAGCTTCAGACCCTTCGCCCAAACAGTCGTAGATTTGGCAGGTCCTTAGTATACTGTTCAAGGACGAGGAAAATCACGACAGAAAAGGTGGCTGTGCCTTTTTACTTCCTTGGGTGCAGTGGGCGAGTTTTAGAAACAAGCCAGCCAGCTAGACCGAAAACATCTTCAGAGCAAGACACCCGAAATTGGAGTGACATGAAGACTCAATCCACCGTCTGCCCCACATTTTGGAGGAGCCCGTGAAGTACCGGTGAAAGCTGTTAAGAAAGCCACTTACGCCGTTGTATGAAAACGAGATGTGAACGACGAGGAGCTGATCACTGTGTTCGCTGGGGTGGAGTCCCTTCTTAATTCCTGTCTATTAACTTATCAGAGTTCAGATCCATGAGAAGCTATTCCATTGACACTTAACCATTTCTTTCACGGCCAAATGGAGGCCGCTCCTGGGTCAGTTGAAACTACTACTTTGCATCCGCGTCAACGATGGCGAAAGGTTCAAGACATTATTTCACGAGTGTGGAGGAGATGGCTCAAGGAATTTGTTGTGGCCTTAACAGCCGACCAATGTGGACTTCAGAATGCCGAGACCCAAAAGTTGAGGATGTAGTTCTTGTGATTCAGCCCGATACTCCAAGAGGACGTTGGCCATTAGGACGTAGGAGGTGTTGTGAGGATGTATCCTGGACGAGATAGCCACACCCGCTTAGCTAAAGTTGCGTGTGGTGTCAAGAACTGTCTTGAGACCAATTAACAACCAGATGCCGCTTGGAATTAACTCTTAATTAGTTAATTAGAAACACTCTAAGACTACCTCCCAGTGTGAGGAGGGTGAAATATTAAGAAGAAGTTACCGAACTTGCGCGTGCGCGCTTTGCAATTTCATAAGTTTAAAAAAAGAAGTAAGCGGACGATTTTCGTGTGTGCAAGTTTTAGGAGTTGGAATTTTTGAGTTTATAAGTAGCCAGTTTTTTTTTTGGAGGTTGTTGGTGTTTACCGTCTTTACCGTATTACCGTGTTACGAATAAACGTACTTGCTCGATTTCTGTCTCTGTTTCCGAACAACCCATATTCTTAATCGTTAAATTTTATTCTGCATAGCTAAAACTACCTACTTTGAGTTCAAACCATTTGTTGACCAAACATCTTCTCAGGCAAGCTGATCCTTCTTCATCCTTCAATTGAAAAAATTAACGAAAGCTTAGAAAACCATGAAGAAGACTTTTTACCAAATTAAAGCGTCTTTCTGTAGGAGAATAGCTTTCGTCTAATTTAGCGAAAAAGAAAAAGTTATGAAAATAGAAAAAAAAGTAATCTTGCCGATTTGGCTCGTAATTATCTAAAAAAAGGCTACGAAACTTGCCGAATTGGCTCATAATCGTCGAAAAGCTACGAGCCTGTGGAAGAAAATGAGTCCTTTGGTTTTGATCAGTAAGAGTATCCTTTATTTATCGAGTTAATGCATCATGTTAAAGTTGCCTTTAAAAAATTCTTCCTTTCCTCCGTTTTCCAAAAGCGTCTTGAAGCCACTTACAGCTATTAAAAGCTTTTAAAAATTCAGCCGAAATTCTTTTTGTTTTCTCGTAATTGATTGCATGCTTCCATCCACTGAGAAACATAATATAAATAATGGTCAGGAAATTTTTCATTTGCATCCTCTATAATCCATTCAACTTTTATTTCCAGGCGTAAATGATTCTGTTTAGAACGCTACTAAAAAACATCTTTACATAGCGAATGATTGCATATAAAGCTGTCATGCAGACGCCTCATGGAAAATAACCTACACTCTGATGTAGCTTCCTGTCGAAAAATAAAGCCTACATCGTCCAAGAATTCGTCCGTATCTAAGAATATGTTCCTCTTAAAAAATGATTCCATTTCGAGAACTTCCGATCCTCTCGCCGATTACTTTTGAGCAACTGTTGATCAAATATTTCAAGGTGCATGGCAAAACTTCAGTTGTTTACGGAAAGTTTCATAGTGTGAGTACATGATGAATAAAGAAAACGAAATCGTAGGTTTAACACTTTCGATTTTTCTTATATTACTGTTTATACAGTCGGATGAGACGAAACCAATCTTCGTCTCGAATCATTTTATGAACAGAAAGTTTTATAACTGCCAGTTTCAGGTTGCTAGACGATTGTACCTTTTTTCTTTAGCTACACTCTACCGTTTGCATCCAAACCATCTGTTTTGAAAATAGGGACTGAAAAAACATTTTAAGACAAATTTTGCGAGGGAAAAAATAAGGGAATTCTTGAAATGTAACCATATCTAAATGAAGATGAGTAAAAAATCCAAGAAACGTGCTTTCGACGAGTGCGCAATACTCAACCTATTCCACGCCTTCACTTCATAAATTTTGGAAACAACGTTTAGGAAAGTTACTTATTTTCCGCGATTTTTTTCGTTAAGTTTGATCAAGTCAGTGAACTTAGGAACAAGACACTGTATTCTTTGCTACTAAATTAGAATGACATTCGGTTCTTGCAAGAGTTCCAACGACTGAATTCTTAGTTTAGATACTCATACCTCTGTTTCGTGTTTGCCACTTCTTAGCTCTGCAGTTTAAAATAACTTACCTAGACCTTCAAATCTCTGTTTATAATCGAAAAACTAAATAAAAAATGAGATTTTTCTAAAATTGCTGTCTTATCGCATAATGAACTCCCCCAAGTGAGTGTTCAAGACTAATGTTATTTCTGGGAATAATGATTGAAAATGCTAGCCCTTTTTTGAAATGACTCCCAAAAACGTCTAATTAAGACACTAAACTTATTGCAAAAATGACTTCTGAAAGGATCCCACCAAATTCCATGGCCAAGGAAAGTAAAACTTTTAACACTCAGGTTGGAATGAAGAAAATATCAAACAGCTGAATAAACCTTTTTCTATTGTAATCCAAACTTTGACGTGGTAATTTCAAATTTGACTTGTGTTTTGTTTGTTGAAAATTATCTTGAAAGACTAAAACCTCGGGATTTGTCTCAACGCCCACAAATTATCAAAGAGTGGTTTTTTTTTTCTTTTTTCATAACTACTATGACAAGTTTGCGCAGAAATAAATGACACTATGGGGAAGCGAATTTACTGTGTAACGGGGAAGGGAACCACCAAGCTGTTACAACGTAAAAGTCGCGAAATGTATTCGCCGATACTTGGGTAAATATTTCATTTGTGATTGCCACAGGCACGTATGATGCGTAAAAGTAATTACGTTTCCTAGCGGATGGAAGCAATCAAATCCCAGATAGAAACAACCTTTTCAGCTGAATATGAAGTTTCTAATAGGTTTGATAATCTGAAACAAAGCAGGTGTCTCGCAATTCAAATGTCTGTATGATGGAAACGGGATTAATCTGCAATGAAACGTTTAGGACACAGGCGAAGTTCTTCTATTGTGAAAGTCACCGGTTCTATTTTGTGATTCCTGATGAAATATTTCACTCGAGGCACTCCGTCATTAAGAAACTTTTAGAAGACGCGAATAAAACCTTTCCCGACCATAATTAGCCTAATTATGCTTCCCAGTTGACAGAAGTAACCAATTCCGAGATAGGGACAACATTCTCGGCTTTAAGTAATTTGAATATATCAACAAAGTTGAAATGGTAAATTGACCACCGTTACGATTATAAAAGCTGTCGTTTCGTGCGTTGGCCCTTCGCTCCGACGAAGGGCTAACGCTCGAAAGGTCAACTTTTAGAATCGTAACGGCGGCCAATTTACCATTCAACTTTGTTGATGTATTCAAAATAATTATTTCGTTACCCCCACCGACGCCGCCCCAAACAGTTTCTTTAGAAACTATCAGCCTTTATTCATCGGCTTTAAGTAGTTCGTTAATTTGGTTCATCGAAATTTCAACGTTTTCTAGGCATCGTTTAACCCTCTCAAAGGCTTTTTCCGTTAGCATCCGTAAGCCTCCTTGGAGTTTCAGAAATAAATGACTCACATCATGATTCATAGTTGAAATTTACTCTGCAAAACTAAAACAAATTACTTTGATTTTCAAACCATCTGTTGACCAAATATCATCTCAGATAAGCAGATCCTGCTTAAGCCTGCAATTGAAAAACAAAGGAAAGCTTAGAAAATTATGGAGAAGACCTTTCACCAAAAAAGATCGTCTTCTCGTGGAAGAATAGCTTTCGTGCTAATTTGGCGAAAAAGAAAATGTTATGGAAATAGCAAAGAAAAAAAAAGCAAAACAAAAATGTAAACCTGCCGGTTTGGCTCGTAATTATCTCAAAAAAGGCGGGTGGAAGAAAACAGTCATTCGGTTTTCTTGGGCGTCTTTTGGCCTTTTCTTTTAAAGTAGTTTCCTTAAAAATTTGGGATCTCTCGTTGACTTCTCAACAATCTTGCGAAATGGTACATTAGAGTTTAAAAAGCTTCAAATTCAGCCAAAGTTGTTTCTGTTTTCTCGGAATTGATCGCACGATTCCATCTACTGGGAAATGTAATATAAATAATGGTCGGGAAACGTTTTATTTGCATCTTCTATGATCCATTCAATTCTTATTTCCTGGCGTAAATTAATCCGTTAAGACCTCTACTAACAAACATCCTTATATTGCAAATGACAGCGATATCATTTGAAGTTGTTCCGCAGACGCCTTATGGAAAATAACCGACACTCTGGTGTAGCTTCCTATCGAAGAAAAAGGCTACGTCCCCCAAGAATTCCTCTTAGAGTATGTAACAATTTAAAAATGATTTCCTTTCAAAATTAAAACCTGTGATCCTCTCGCAGAGTATTTTTTAGCAAATGTCGATCATATATTTCAAGGTGCATGGCAAAACTTGAGATGTTTTCAATAAATTGTAATAGTCGAATACCCTACAATGAAAAACGATCAAATCGTACATTTAACAATTTCGATTTTTCTAACTTTCTGTTTGTTTCGTCGGATCAGACCAAACCAATCTCCGTCTGGAACCATTTGATGAACAAAAACTTTAATAACAGCCAGTTTTAGGTTCAAAACGATTGTGCCATTTTTTTAAGCTACACTCTTTCCTTTTTGCACCCGAACCACCTGTTTTCCAAATTTTCCGAAGCGAAAAAAATACGGGAATTCATGACATGTACCCATATCCAATAAAAAAGAGAAAAATTCCAAGAGATATGCTTTCGACGAGTGCGCAGTTCTCAATCTATACCACACCTAAACTCAATAAATTTTGGAAAACAACGTTTAGGGAAGTGACATATTTTCCACGATTTATTTTCGTTTCGTTTGTTTAAGTTAATGAACTAATGAACAAGACAGTGTACCCTTTGCTACTAAATTAGAATGATATTCGGTTTTGCAAGAGTTCCAACGATCAAGTTTTTTTAGTTACTCATACCTCTGTTTCCTGTTTGCCACTTCTTTGCTCTGCAGTTTATAACAACTTGCCTAGTCCTTCAAATCTCTGTTTATAATCGAAAAACTAAGGAGATTTTTCCAAAATTGCTGTCTGATCGCATAATGAGCGCCCCCAAGTCAGTGTTAAAGACTAATGTTATTTCTGGAAATAATGATTGCAAATACTACACCATTTTTGAAATGACTCCCAAAAACTTCTAAATAGAACACTCGACTTGTTGCAAAAATGACGTCTGAAAGGATCACACCAAATTCTATCGCGGAGAAAAATCAAATTTTTATCACTGAGGTTGAAATGAAAAAAAATATCAAACAGCTGAATAAACCTTTTTCTATTGGCCAAAATTTGAGGGGGTAGTTTCAACTTGATTTGTGTTTTGTTTGATGAAAATTATCTTACCCAAGAGGGTTATAATTTTTTTCCTAATTACTATGACAAGTTTCCCCAGATATAAATGACAGTATGGAGGAAGCGAGTTTACTATGTTGAGAAACAGGTAATCATCTAGCTCTTACAGCGTTAAGGTCGCCGAATTTATTTGCCAGTACTTGGGCGCATATTTCATTTGAGATTGCCAAAAGCACGTAGGCTGAGCAACGGTAATTAAGTTTCCAAGTGGATGGAAGCAATCAAATCCGAGATAAAAACCGTCTTTTCAGCTGAATTTGAAGTTTCTAATAGCTTTTATTAAAAGTCTGACACAAAACAAGTGTCTGAATTAAACTGTCTGAACATAGGAAACGGGTTTAACCTGCAATGAAAAAGTTCAGGACGTGC